CATCCTGCTCGCCATCCCCTCACACTCTTAGTTGGATTTTCAAACCACACTGAGTGTTAAGGGACCCCTGTATCCCAGCCGTGCCTATTCATCTTTTAAATGACACCTTCTTCCCTAGAGCTGCCCAGAAACCTGAAAACACTTCCTCTACAGAACTGGAGAAGGTTTGCCCATCCTCCCTTGGCTCCTCCATAAGGGGCAGTTCTCTGGACTTCTGATCTTTGACTAGATTCACAGCAGGTACAGAAGCTCCACTGGGAGTTTCTTTAATATTTGGACATTTCTCCTAAAGTATGCTATCAACTGTGCTCAAAGCCAACTAAGCTGAAAACTAGAGTGAACTTTTCTTGTGGGAATTTCACCTCACTAAATTATTAATAAAAAATAGAGTGAGCCATAAGTAGGTATTTGTTAGATTCATACATATCCATCCACACTTTATTCTGGTTCTGATATCTCTGGCCTTTCAGTTTTGCTTCTCGGAAATATCTTTTGCTCAATCAGATTGAAAATATTTTGCTTTACTAAAGATGTTCTTAGAAAGAAGAACTGGTGCACACCAATGATTTCTAAAAGCATTTAAAATTCAATCCTGTTTCAGAGAAAATTTGAACTATTATTATCGTAGTGTTTAGAGCTAGGAGAAGTAGATTCAGGGCTACATTTTTCTGTGCTTGGAAGGTTGAAGTATTCCTATGATAATTAGAAATAGTTAAATGAATTGAAGTGTCCCAGATGAATGGATGACATTATTTTAAGTCCTGAAAGTTAGGCATTTATAGATTTTTTCGCCTAAAGCTCTTTTGGAACATAATAAATGCTTTTGGAACATAAATAAATTTTGGACATCTTAGACTGAATCCTAATTTGTTTACTCTCTCCTCCCCCAAGAGGAAAAGGAAGCTATTAACCAGAGCAACAATGTTGGGTATGAAATAGTACTTCTTATATTTGGCTGTCTTATCTGTGATTCTTAAATGTTGATGAAAATTATTGCCCCTTCTCCTAATGGACTTTAAAATTGGGCCAGATCCCAGCAACTTAGTAGAATGGTACCCTTCATCTTCTTCAAACCAATATTCATCTGAGGTTTTAGCCTTGGTTGAACAGTTAACATTTCCCATACTTGGTTTCCTTTAAGACTTCATAAATTACAGAGTTCCTGAACAAATTAATCAGTAAAAATTCTAAACTATAGCAATGAAGATTCCTGGGGAAAAAAGTATGGCAACTAATAATGATCCTCTTCCTACACGTAAGGAACTGCATTGGCATGTCCACATTAGTTAATTCATGGATAGCAACAATTCCATGTAAAAATGAAAGAATTTTATCAGAGCTCAGCATAAAGCTTATTTGTGGCAACGCTGAGTTTAAAAAATAAATCTATTTTTATGAGACTATGAACTAACTCTTTTTAGCCATTAAGTACCAGGATCCCCTTGTTTCTGGACTTCCTCCATCTCTAACTGACATATTTAGACTATTGGCCTTGCTTTATAGACAGGTGTGATGTCGGGTGTCTCCTTGAATTCCTGGGAAATTATTGATTGTTAAATACTATGAGCTTATTTTTTTAAAGTGTATTTAAAAAAGAGTCCTGTGTGGATAGGTACAGTCTCTGTCTCCTCACTAGTGTGTCTGTGGTGCCAGCATAGGCACTCAGTATTGCTAAATGAATAGATGAATCAGGATGTTGACATGATGCTTTATGCACAATCGGCTACAAGAAAGACTAAGTTGTTCTAGGTCACGGATGCAATAAAATTGGACTTGGGGTTGGGTGGGAGGGTAGAAGACCTGAGTTCAAATACAAACGGGGCCACTGACTGATTCACTCATGCTATCAAGTGAAACAAGTGACAACTTTCAGGGCACAGTTTTTCCCTTTTAGAAGCTGAAAGGGTTGTGCTGAATGTAGTGAGTAATCTCCAGTTTCTCTGGGCTCACATGCTCTTTGTTTTAGGCAAGCTCTTCTATTTCCAGTTGGGAAAAGGTCTATGTAGCCTGACATCTTGGGGTTCCCCCACAGCCAGTCTTGGGAAATGTTCTCTTTATTATTGTCACCTCTCTCAGCAAAATACACTCCCAATGCAATTACCTCTAGCACTGTGAAAGGAATTTTACCAGAAAATAACCTGTAGTTTAAGCCGTATTTATGGAATTAATTACAGGTATAAAAGAAGGACACACACAAACACTTCCAGAATTGTCTGGCCTAAGACCCAGTTTTAACTTAAAATATTCTTATTTCTGGATGCCTCTGTTCAATCACCTCATCTTAGGCTGGTTTCCTCCCTCCCTTCCCACTCCCCTTCTCCCCTTCCTTCCCTCTTCCCCT